GCCCACCACAATGCCCGGCTATTTTTTGGTTGCAGCCGTCATTGTTGTTTGGCGGGCCGGGGCTGGATTCGAACTTGCCACCTTAGGTGTATGTGGCTGGCGCCTTAGCCACTTGAGCCACAGGCGCCGAGCCTATTTCTAAAATTCTATCCACTACTGACCTTCATTCCCAGGAGGCAATAGCTTTGGAGTCAGCTTTGGGCAAGTTACTTAACCTTCCTGAGCCTCTGCTTCTCTCATGCAAGATGAAGATAATAATTGTGCTGGAGCTGGTCTCTAAAGATAGCCCCCAATGAACCATACCTAGCTTCTCTCTCACACTGACTTACTTTCATCAGCAGCATGCAATGGAAATGATACCACACCACTTATGGGCCTAAGACAGTTTGGTATCTTTTGCTTTTAGCCCTGAGCACAAAAAGTCTAGCTACCCTATTGGAGGCACTCAATAGTGTGGCTTCAGGAAGAGACAGGCTCAGCTATTCCAGCTGAGCCCAGCCTTCCAGCCAATCCTGCTTAGGCACCAGACCTGTGAATGAAGTTCTCATGTTCTAGCCTCATACATTTGACCACAGCCACATGAGAGATCCTATTCAAGAACAGCAGAAGAATCATCTAGCTAAGTCCCAGGAACATAAAAAATAATGAAAGAGTTGTTGTTTAAGCCACTAAATTTGGGGAAGGGTTATTAGGCAACACTAGATAACTGAAAATCAGACTATTCTAAAAAGTAAATGAGGTCAAGCTTTTACAAGAGTGAGCGGCCTACAGGTAAGCACTAATAGATAATAGCTGTAATGAATGATTAAGACTGTAACTACATGCTCATGTGAGTCTAGAACTTCAGAGCACACACACATACCAAATAACACACGTATGTCACATACAATACTGGAAACATCACATCTTAACACCTGGGTGGAAAATTACACAGCCATTTCAAACAAAAAACAATAAACACTGTGAAGAGGCTTGGTGCCTATAGCTCAGTGGCTAAGGCACCAGCCACATACACCAGAGCTGGCAGGTTTGAACCCAGCCTGGGCCTGCCAAACAACAGCAACTACAACAAAAAAATAGCCAGGTGTTGTGGTAGGCGCCTATAGTCCCAGCTACTTGGGAGGCTGAGGCAAGATAATCGCTTAAGCCCAAGAGTTGGAGGTTGCTGTGACCTGTGATGCCACAGCACTCTACCTAGAGTGACATAGTGAAAGTCTATGTCCAAAAAAAAAAAAAAAAAAAAAAAACTGTGGGAAAAAATGGAATACGTTTATATGAGCTAGATGAAAAAAGAAAGATGAAAATAATTTCTGCTTTGCCCTGATTGTGACCATATGAAATAAGTCTGAATCAAGACAAGTATAGAAATGGCATTGTGCTATGCTGGTGGGATTTATTGATTCATTTGTACATAACCCTTTCTCCTTGCTAAAATATTGTGAAGTGGCAGATTAGAGGGCCTTAGGAAATAGTCCTTTAAAAAAAAATTTCCTTAATGTTATTGTCATTTTGGGTTTTTCTTTCTTTTTGTAATGAAACTCCTTTTTATGAAACAAGAAAGAAAGAAAGAAAAGAAGGAAGGAAGGAAGGAAGGAAGGAAGGAAGGAAGG